CCCCTAAAGTCGGTGATGCCTGGAAAGAACTGGGGAATATGTATGTTGGGGTCCCACAGCCCCAACCCAGGTTCCAGGGCTGCTGAGTAGCAAAGAGGCCCGGATTCTCTTTTCATAGGAAGCTAATCATTTCCCAAATGCAGGGACCTGGTTTCAACTCCTGGCCCTGATGTCCTCAGGGAAGCAGTGTCACCACTCTGGCATCCTGACCTTGGGCAAATAACGTCTTTGTGACTCAATTTCCTTGCTTTCGAAATGGGGCCGATACTTCCTACCTTTCTGCTCTGGCATAGATGGTTATAAGGTGTCTCCTCCCAGTGTCTCCTGAGCAGTGCCCATGATGAGTCCCATGCAGCGCAGCCCCGTCTGCACCCTCTTCACCTGCTCTCTGTCCTCCACCAGCTCTTCCTTCTTCTTTCCTCTCATGCCCATCTCAGGCTGGCCCATCATACCTACAATGGCCTGCCCCCTGGAGTCTCCAGGACAGAATGTTGTCTCCAGGTTCTGAGCCCAGAAAGGACCCAGGCCTAAGGGTGAGGGTAGGATCTCCGAGTTCTGCAGCCCCAGCTAGACCTGGACTGGGACCCAGACAAAGCTTGGTGAAGGCCTCAGCAGCCGCCAACAGTGGCCACTGCCCTCTGAGACTGGGATCAAGGGGACAGGGGAGTGGTCCTGCTGCTGGCCAGGGTGCGATCCTGGGCTTTCCCCTTCATCTGTAAATGGGAGTGTGTGTCCTGCCCTAGTCCACTCCAAGTGGGAAAGTGCTTCACGAACCTTAGAGAGCAGCCTGGGAGGCCTGCTGGCCATGATGTGTGAATGACTGGTGGGCCTTGGGCCTGTTGGCAGACAGTGGAGGAAGGAAATCATGGCACTTTTCATGCTCTTGGCTACTAGAACCTAGGCCCTGGCATCTGCTGGTCACTCCTGGCACCTGTAGCCTCAGGCACAGGGATCTAAAGAGGCTATCAGGCGGCCATACTGACAAGTCAGGGGGTTGGCTGCTGGAGAGAAGCATTGGCCGGATCCTGGGTAGTCGCAGCTGATCAGTCTGAGACCCAGGGTTCCCCTGGAGCCTGAGTATGAGATGGGAGGGGAGGGAAGACCTCAGGTTTCCTGAAGGACTACATGGGAGTCAGACAAGGGTTTTCTAGTCCTCATACCACCCCTGCCCAGCTATGTACCTTCAGCTGCTGGGGGCCCTTCTGTTTTCCTCTCTAAAAATGGAGACAGTGACTCTCATCTTCTCGGGTTCTTATAAGGACTACAAATCGAGTTTGTCAAATGCTGGGCACTGGGCCTAGCACACGCTACGCTATTCTTCTCCCTCTGGGGCTCTTGGGGGCTGTCCTTCCCCACTGGCCTAGACTGAGATATGCCCCCCTGCCCCAAGTGCCCAAGGACGTGCTCCCCAGGCACCTGCTCCAACAGTGGCTCTTCGTCCCATGATTTTAAAGCCAAATGCCACAATTGCTCCTGGGGTCTCTTCGGGACTGTTATTTTTTTTTTTTTTTTTTTTTTTTTTTTTTTTTTTTTTTTTTTTTAAATTTTTTATTGGATTATAGGTTTTGGGGTACATGAGCAGAGCATGCAAGACAGTTGCGTAGGTACACACATGGCAGTGTGCTTTGCTTTTCTTCTCCACTTCACCCACATTTGGCATTTCTCCCCAGGCTATCCCTCCCCACCTCCCCCTCCCACTGGCCCTCCCCTTTTCCCCCCAATAGACCCCAGTGTTTAGTACTCCCCTTTCTGTGTCCATGTGTTCTCATTTTTCATCACCCAACTATAAGGACACATGTACACGAATGTTCATTGCAGCACTGTTTACAATAGCAAAGACCTGGAATCAACCCAAATGCCCACTGATAATAGACTGGATTGGAAAAATGTGGCACATATACACCATGGAATATTATGCAGCAATCAGAAATGATGAGTTCGTGTCGTTTGTAGGGACTGTTATTTTTTTCACTTGCTCACTGTAAAAATCCAGCACCTTGGAGGCCAACACTGTCAGGCCCTCACCCTCCCATCACTGACATCTGCTCATCTCCTTGTCCAGTTCTGAGAAGTCCAAGCCTTGTATGATTATCATTGGGGCTGTTTCCAAGTCTTCTCATTCTCCTCCATCAGGCATGACCACGTGACTTGCTTTTGCTGTCAAAATATGCATGGAAGGGATAGTTGTTTTCACATAGAGCCAAAATACAGCCAGCCGTGAGTTAGTTACCTGCCCTTACCGAGGAAAAGGACATGGGCTGCCCAAGCACAGACCTCTTTGACATCTATGCCAGCTATTTTTTATTTTTTGAGATGGAGTTTTGCTGTAGTTACCAGTGGGAGGCCCTAAGTTCTGTACTTGCCTCGTGGGGTCGTGGAAGCACAGGGATGAAGCCTCTATTCATCTAGGTCTCCGACTGACTAGGGTAAGCATCATTCCCCTGCCGACCCACAGTCGGCACTGAACATACAGTGAGGGGAAGAAATACACTTCCCTTGCATTCAGCCACTGAGTGTCTGTGTTGCTAGTTTCTGCAGTGGACGGAACCCACCCTGTTACGCTCTGGCTCACAGTCTGGATCTCCACTTAAGCTCTGCAATCCTCGGTGATGCTGCTGGCCACCAGCATAGCCCACTTGGCACCCTGCACGCTCACTTCCGGTCCCCTTCATCCCAGTGGTGATCTCTTTCACTGTACCTCAACCACCCGCGCCTGTGGCCGACACAGTCTTCATCCAACGAGTTAAGACAATTCACAACATTTTCCTGTTTTCATCCAAGTGACCACTTGACCACTGGCCTTTCTCCTTATCAGCCAGGCCTGTTTGCTCCCTTCTCAGCTTGTGGCTCAGTGGTTGGTGGCCTTACCTCTTCACTTGCCAGTGAGTCACCTCCAGTGACTCATTGTCTTCGTGTCCCATGGCCTGGCTAAGCCCAGGCCACCTTCCCCATGCCCACAGCCAGTGGACGAGGGCTGCTGGAAAAACCACACCGCTGAGCAGACAGAGGGAAGCCGGCCCACGACGCCACACAGGTGCCTTCCCTGTTTCCCTGTGGGGTTCGCCTGCTCCCTTCAAAGCTCATTCACACCACCTCAAGTGTCTTTGATCTTTTCACCCTGCAACTTCCTCAGGTGATTTCACTCTATTTCTCACACGAAATCCATCTTCAAGAGTGTCCTCAGCTGGGTGCGGTGGTGCACGCCTGTAATCCCAGCACTTTGGGAGGCCCAGGAAGGTGGATTGCTTGAGGTCAGGAGTGCAAGACTAGCCTGGCCAACATGGCGAAACTCCCGTCTACTAAAAATACAAAAATTAGCTGGGCATGGTGGCGCGTGCCTGTAATCCAAGCTACTGGGGGGCTGAGGCAGGAGCATTGCTTGAACCTGGGAGGTGGAGGTTGCAGTGAGCCGAGATTGTGCCACTGTGCTCCAGCCTGGGCAACAGAGTGAGACTCCGTCTCAAACAAAGTGTCCTCAACTTCCTGTCACCAAACAGACATGCTGACTGCATCTGCACTTCCTCCCTCCCCTTCCTTTGGGCCACAGTGGGAGAGGAGTCTACATCTGCTCATTGTATCCCCACCAGCCCATCATACACTCGGCTTCCTTTCCCTGCACCCCACACCCCTTACGACTGCCCCAGCTCTCCCGTCTCTAGTCCAGGCCCCTAGAAGTTGTCTGTGTCTGCTGCCTCCATTTCCCCACCTTCTCCTCACTCCTCAACCACCCCCATCCACCACCACCATTTATTCCACACTCAGCAGCATCTATGAAGGGCCCGCTATGTGCCAGGAATTGTACTAGTCCAGCTTTCCCAAAAGCCGCAACAATGAATCCCCTGATTGCTTTGAAAACAGACCCTCTTAGGCTCTTGGCGTGAAACTTCTGGACGGCGCTCACCCTGAGAATCCCTCTCGATCTTCCATCAGTCAATCTATCTGCTCCTTCTCATGGCTCTCTTTGTCCTCCCAACCCTGAGGACTTTTCCAGGAAAGGTCCCCTGGGTGGTGCAGACTCACTCTGGATCGGCACTGTCACCCTCTTCCACCACAGCCATGATGGCCAGTGGATTGAATAATTGATGGCCTCCCCTGCTAGAATGTGAGCTCCTTGTGGTGGTTCTGTGTCTGTCCCACTCACTGTGGTATCAATGGCTGCCTCTCATTGGCACTTGGCAAACCATTGCTGAATACAAAAGGTGGGGACTCCACTTCTTTTGCATTCTTGTAACCCCAGCGCGCTGTGCAAAACCCGCTCAGAAACAAATTGTTGAAGGCTTACTGTGTCCCAGGCTCTGTTAGCCACTCTGTATATGAGATCGCATTTAATCCCCCCACCAGCCCTTATAGAGATCGTGACTCTCCACTTTACAGACTAGGAAACAGAGGCACAGAGAGGTTAGGTGAGTTGCCCAAGGTCACACAGGCAGTAAGTGCCTCCCGCTGCCAACACTCAGGAACCAATTCACTCACTACTCATCTTGTAGTGAGGTGAATGGGAGCCCCTAAAAAAGTTAAGTTCATGTCCTAATGCCTGGAATCTGGAAATGTGACCTTGCCGAGGCAAGGCCTGCAGTGATGAGTGTATAAATCGAGAACTGCCTGCAGCCACCAGGAGCTAGGAGAGGCCCAGAGCTAATCTCCTTCAGAGCCTCCAGGAGGAATCAACTTTGCCAACACCTTGACTTTGGAGTTCAGGCTTCCAGAACTGTGAGGGAATACATTTCTGTTGTTTAAACCACCTCGTTTATGGTGATTTGTCACCGCAGACTAGGGAACAAATGCAGGCCCCAAACCACACGGTGCTGTATCTGGTGCTTCCTCGCAAGGTCTTCCCAGGGGCCGCAAGAGAGTCCTAGGCTGTGTGACTGTGGCCCAGTCACCCCTGCTCTCTTGGCCTGACTGCTCTGCAGCGAAATGAGCACTTGGGATGCTGAGTGTCCTTCCAACTCCAACACCGTGGAACCCTCTAGAAAAACCATGAGCTAGGCAAGCAGGGCTATGTTGGGATTTTCAAATTTATTCCAACATGCTATTTTTTTTAAAAAATATCCTCAGGCTGAACACTCAGCCAGAGCTGTAATAAAGGCAATTATTATACTTGTAAAAACTTCTCATTCACAGTACAGATGTAATTTACAACAAAGGTCACACACATCAATACTGAGCATTTTTCCTTTTGTACGTCAGACTCTGTGCTTTAGACCTGCGTAGATTTTTTGTTTTTTGTTTTTTTTTCTTTTTCACTGATATATACCATACCAACATTGCAAGATGCAAGTGTGGAAACTGGAGTTTAAATAGAATTACAGGCAAAACCACCCCGTCCCAGTGCGGCTGCTGTACATATCTACAGTACAATTTTTGGAATGTATTGCCATTTAAGAACATAGAAACTCTCTACAGACAATTTCACATACAGAATACATACACCTTTTAGAAAAAAAGGCAAATATTTATCTTACAGAGAGCATTGTAATTTACATTTGCCTGCATGATTCTTTTTTCTTTCTTTTTTTTAAATACTAAATTTAGTAAAGTGATCATAAGTGCCGAAGCGGTTTTCTAATGAAAAGCAGACTGGATTCACAACACAGAAGCAGAATTGGTGGACCAGCCTTTCGGGAATGTCCTTCCCCTGGTCACACGGCAGCTTGGTCCCTAAGGACAGGTGCTCAGCCAGGACTTTTGCTTTAAGAAGGATTTGTCTGGAGAAAGGACTAGAGAGAAATCCAGCACAGATGTGCTGCTCATTCCTCTTCAGAAGGACTGGGTGGGGATGGAGCAAGGGCTAGAGGAATCTGGAAGCTAATTCTTTTAGGCTTTTTGCAACAGAGGGACTTCTGGGTCTGGAAATTGGAGGTGACAGTGCAGGCAGCTGGCTGCTGTCAGGCTCCTGGGGGTTGCAGGGGTTGAGGCCAGAGTGAGAGCCATAGGTGCGGGTGGGAGGGACAGGCGTGTCCTCAGAGAGGAGTTGGGTTACTACGCAGAATGGTCCTGAGGTTGCCAAGGGTGAAGGGCATCGTGGAGTGCAGGCCTGGGGAGCAAGGACTCACCAGCCGAAGGCAAGGTTTGGCTCTAAAACCTTGACCAGTTGGTTCCTCCCCCGCTGCCCACACCCAAGGACCAGGGCTAGTACCAAGGAATGGCCACCTAGAGCATTTCAACAGAGCCCACAGCAGGCATCTGTGCCAAGTCAGCCACTGCTTCCTCTGATGCCTCCCTCAAGAGGTGCAGTGACATCACAGGCAAACAGGAAACTCTGAAGTGACTGGGAGCAGGGAAGAAGGCCCAGGGGTGGGTGTGCATGGGGCGAGCGTCTTCTCCAAATCATGAAGGTGCACTTGTGGGCTGGGGGCTCTGTGCGCAGAGGAGTGGGACTAGAGTCCAGAAGTGGGGGTTAAAGCTGTGCCCAGTGACATATACCCAGGCTGGTGGCACTGGTGCTGTCCTTCTGGGCAAAGCATCAATATGGAGGCAGCCCTTTGGTGAGATTCTATTGGTGCATTTCCCCCCATCATTTAGAAATAGTCTCCAGTGACTCTGGCCCCTGCGGCTTCTCTGCCTCAGCCCAGTGACACCAGGACTCTGGCCTGCTGGCTGCACTGTTCATTGCTAGGCAGCCCATGGAAGAAACCTTGGGTGGATGGGTTGTCTGAGTACTGGAAGTAAAATGCCCAGGAGAGCTGGAAGGCAGGGTGGGGTAGAATGGCGTGGGCCCCCCCACCAAGGGCAGGGACTAGTCCACCAGAGCCCCCAGTCTGCTGCTTTGTAGGTCTGGGGCAGGAAGAGCTCGGCCAGGAAGATTTCTAACCTGGGCCGAAGAAATGCCCTTTATGCACCTCCCAGACCTCAGCCCTTGAAGCCCCCAATCTGTGGTCTGTCCCGTGGGTTAGGGCGGAAAGGCAGGGGTGGAGAAAGCCCTGGCCTTCCAGGACTCGGAGGAGGAGTCACTTTCTGCTAGGCCATGACAGCAATATGGACAGTGTGGTCCAGGCTGGGCTTGCTGCTTCTCTTGGGGAGGATGAGAGCCCTGGTCTCTGAGTGAAGCCACCAGGAGCTACTGGCTAACCCAGACACCCCAGAACCCTGGAGCACAGTGGACCCGCAGGGAGGCCCTGCCTTTTGTCTCACTTTTGTCTTAGCGCTGAGTGAGGCAAAGGAGAATGAAGGTGTTCTGGCTGCAGGCTGGACGGTGGCTGGTTTGTCTGTAGAGTAGGGACCAAGAAGGGAAAGGCCACGAATTGGAAGAGGCAAGTACAGGGAGCTCACAGCAAGGTCTCAACCCTCCCCACCTGTATCCTGGACCCAAATAGCTTCAATAGCTCAGGAGCCCTGGGATTCATACAGCCTGGCTGAGGACTGCAGGTTGGCCAGAGAGATCGCTGCTCTGTATAGGGTGGCATCAAACCAGCCTGCATGGGCCATGACAGCTGTCCCTGTGCTGCCCTCCCTTGTAGAAGGTGAAGACAATCACTTCTGGAAGACTGGGAGAAAACTTACCTCTCCCAGTTGGGGCAAACTTGCTAGAGTTCAGGTTCCATGGTTCAATTTGGGATTTAAATTTCTGGTCCTATTATTTTTCTTACAAAGCAGAGTTTTGCCCCAGGAAATGGAGGACAGCTGTCTGAAGGCAGAGAAGGGGTAAGGAAGAGGCATTGGCCTGCACTGATTGCTTCAGAGAAGAATTCCAATGACTTAGGACAATTCGAAAATCCTCTAGGTCAAGAGAATGAGGTGGCTGGGCAAACTATCAAACCCCATCCCTTCTCTCTTTTTCAAAAAGAAGCGTAAGACAACCAACAGGCCCAGGCTGTTGCCAGGAGTCACAGTTCTGGGTGTTTCCTTGGGGTGGTGGAGGCAGGGCCAGTGTGGGGCGGGGGCAGAGGAAATGGTTCCCTGCAAATCTCTGCTGTGGAGCACTGGAAAAACCCAGCCCTGAGGGGAACAGGGTCCCTTGTACCCCAGGGACTAAGGTGAAACTAAACCCAAAACCCAGTCCCAGGAGCGGCCCCTAGGGCTTGGGGCTTGCCACTTCCGCCTTTGTGGGTAGTCTTAGAACAGACGAAGCAACAGGAGAGGGAGGCCTAAGTCGGGGCTCCAGAGCCAGGGAAGGACAGTCAGGACTCCTTCCCCAGCCCAGGGGACTGGGGTGGGGAGCAGAAGGGAGGGTTGGGAGTGGGGTTGCATGGGTGGGGTGGCCTGCCCACCCGTGGAGTGCCAGGATGGTCCTAAGACTCAGACTGCTAGAGCATCCAGGAGCCCTTGGGGAGCCAACCCGCCTCCTTCTACCTGCTCCTATTATTTTGTGTTGAAATCCTAGGAAAAGTAACATTTTATTTTCTTGAAAAAGAAAGAAAAAAAGAAAAAGATTATTTTTTCTGGGCCTGCCTGCTGGGGCCTGGGTGGGGTCATCTGCCTGTGTTTGCACCCCTCTGCCTGGGGACACTGGTCTTTCTGCTGGCAGAGAGGGGTGGCCACGAGCTGGGCAGGGGTAAAGCGGCAATAAACAGGAAGCTTGCTAGCATCTGCACACAGGAGTGCTTCCTTTGACATTTAACTCCATATTGTTTAAAGTTTCCTTTTTCTCTCTCCCTCAGTGCACTCCTTCCCCTCTGCCAGCCTCTGGGGTGGGTGGCCGCCAACCACAGTGGGGAGGGTCAGGAGGTTCCCCCCTCAGCCTTTCCCCAAAAGCATAACTATTCACAGCCTCAGACTCCTCGTGGGTTTTAAAAAATGTATGTATGTGATTGGTTTTGTTTCTTTTCAAGCAACAAAAGGTGTAGAAAAAGGCACAGGTAACTGCATACATGAGAAGGTACAACAGACGGGGCCGTGAGAGCTCCTGGACGGAGGGCCAGATGGGCCTGGGGGGGCAGATGACTCGAGGAATGCAGCTGGAAACGTCTGGACACTGGAAGTCAGATGCTGAAGCGGCTGGAGAGAGGCTACGCATTGGGGGGGCCCCTGTCCTCAGGCTGATGTGGAGGTGCCCTGGGTTCCCCACTTCCTGAGGGTTCAGGGGAGTCCTGCCTGGTCCTGGGTTCCCCAGAGAGGTTCCTCCTTCGGGCTGGGAAGCGGGTAGAGGCCTCTGCCAGGCAGCCCATGGAACTGCTGCGGTCCAGTGGTGGGGTGGCAGGGGCCTCGGGGTTGGCCGGTGCATGTGGGGACTCCAAGCGGGGGCTCCAGGACTGCACTGCCCGGCGGCCCTGGGGCGGCCGGGGCAAGGTGTCAGGAGGGGTGCAAGGGCTGTGCATGGGTGTGGGCTCTGCGGGTGCCTCAGCCCCTCGGGGCGTCCAGTCAGGAGGCCTGCCCGGGCCTCCGCCGGTCCTCTCCCTCTCCTTGGGGTAGTCCCTGCCCTCCAGCTCCGAGGAGAGTGTAAATTTGGAGACCTTAGCCACAGGTGACACGGAGGCTGACGAGCTCTCAGTGGGACTCCAGCGGCCTCGCTCCTGGGCCTCCCGGGCCCCTGTCAGGTCACTGCCACCCCCGGAGAAGCCACTGACCCAGGCCGTGGTGGGCCCTGGCAGCAGAGTGGGGTGGGCTCCTGGCCGGGCCTGCACCATCTGGATCCCACCGATGGGAATCAAGGGATACGGGGCGCGGGTCAAGTGCTGGGAGTGCAGAGGCAGGTGGCTGAAGATGTTCTCCTCTGTCCGGGCTGGGATGTGGCCGTGGAAGTCATGGGGGGCGGAGAAGGGTCGGGAGGAGAGAGGATGAGCAGGGCCGGGTGAGCAGGAGGGACTTCGGGACGCAGCCTTCTGCTGGGGGCAGAAAACAAGACAAGGTAAGGTGAAGGTTATGCGCTGGACACATGGGGAGCTGAGGCCTGGAAGTGGGAGAGGGACTCGCCCGAGATCATAGAGCCACTCCAGAGTCCCAGCTGAGCTGGGCCCAGAACCAAATTCCTGACTCCCTGCCCACTGATGCCAAGCCAGCTGCTGTCTCTGGAATGCGCCATGTCCGGCTCTACAGTGACCATGAGCACACTCAGGCCCCATGGACTCCATTTCTCCAGCCAGCATACCTGTCTTCAAAGGAGGGGGTACTTGAGCAAGGTGGGGCCCTGCTATCACCCATGAGCGAGGTGGGGCCCTGCTGTCACCCATGAGTGAGGTGGGGCCCCGCTGTCACCCATGAGCCTGGCCTCTATGTGGGTCTGCTGCCTCTCCTGTTTGTAAAATGGTCTTCACTCAGCTTCACCCTTGGACATGAGGTCCTACCTGAGGGTCTTGACCTTGTGCTGCCCCCAGGAATTTGAATGTAACCCCAAAATTAAAAATCAAGGAAAGATTCCTAGATCAGTATCCCCAAGGAGTGACAGGGCTGGGTCACAGCAACATGGGGACAGAGAAGTTGTCAGAAGGTGAAGGTCAGCTGACAATGATGGTGCTGTCCGTGGTGGGGTCATGGCAGCTGAGGGGACAGGGATGGTGGCCGTGCTGATGGGTGGCAGCAGAGGTATGTTGGTGCAGTGGTGATGGTGGTGCTGCTGGCCATGGGGATAGTGCTGATGGTTGACAGGGATGGTACTGACTGTGGTGCCTCCAAAGGCGTTGGTGACAGTGATGCTGGAGATGGCGATGGTTTTGGTTAAGTTCTGCCATCTTCTCAAAGAACACAGGCAGATGGGGATGGGTGGGGGTGGGAAATTGCACGAGTATTTGCACCCAATGTATGATATCCAAACTATGATATATCATAGTTTGGATATCTGTCCCCACCAGAATCTCTTATTGAACCTTGTGCTGCCAATCCCCAGTGTTGGAGGTGGGGCCTGGTGGGAGGTGTTGGGTCATGGAGACTGATCCCTCATGGCCTGCTATGGTCCTCCAGATAGTGATTGAGTTCTTATGAGATCTGGCATTTTGAGTGTATGGCGTCCCTCCCCCCTACCCCGCACCGACTCTCTCTCTTGCTCCCACTCTGCCAGGTGAGATGCCTGCTCCTGCTTGGCCTTCCACCCTGAGTAAAAGCTGCTTGAGGCCTCCCCAGAAGCCGAGCAGGTGCTGGTACTATGCTTCCTGTACAGCCTGCAGAACTGTGAGCCTATTAAACCTCTTTTCATTATAAATTACCCAGTCTCAGGTATTCATTTATAGCAATACAAGAACAGACTACTACATGGTAGAACCCAGATCCCATGAACTCAAGTCCATGCTCTGTGCTTCTGAGGCTAAAATGAAGTTGAATAAGCCAGCTGACTTAGGGCACACAGAATGGTGCCTGGCACAGTAGGTGCCTAATAAATTTTTGCTAAATTATTATTAACTACTGAGCTGGCGGGGCTGTTTACTTCCAGGTGTGATACCCAGGAGGGGGTGAACTTGCAACCCCTGCACCCATAGGAGAGAAGTGGCCCAGCCACCAGGGGAAGGAACTCACCCACGGAGAGGTGCAGGTCTCTGGGCTTCTGCTGAGGAGCTTGTGAGGTAGAGGCGCGGGTGGGAAGAGAACCCGTGGGGCCAGCCCCAAGCCTGAGCCATGCTCGCCCGTGGAGGGGCTGCCTGGCCCAGCCAAGGCCCACTTCCCTGGCAGCGCTGACCGTGGTGGTGACTCAGCCTGACCTGGAGACCATCTCCTGGTGGGCGAGTGTCTGGGGAGGCCTGGGTCGGTGGTACCCTCGAGTTTGGGGAGCACATGTGCTCCAAGGGGCAGTTCTCTTCCCAGGGGGTGGGGGGTGAGAGGAGACAGCTCAAGTCTTGGAGATCCACAAGGAAGCGGGCCCAGGCCCCTTCCTGGGTCCATGTGCAGGCCAGGTGGGCTTGGGGCTGAGGCCTGTGGTTCTCGGGCTGGGGAGCATCGCTGGGGAGATGAGTCGTTTTTGGTTAGTGAGTGTTTGCGGGCTAGTGGTGGGCGGCCTGCTTCTTTGCTTGGGGACCACGGTCTTCTTGGTGACACAGGCTTGGAGCTCAGGGCTGAGCCTGTGTCTTTCTCCACAGAGCCCGAAGTGGCTGGTCCCAGCCGCGGGAGGCACAGGATGCTCTGGCTGGACGTGGAGCAGCTGCTGGCTGTCAGGCGCTCAGCTTCCGAGACTGAGCTGCCTCGTGTAGCCTCGGTGCCAGAGGCAGGGGCATCTGGGGGCTGAGGGCCCAAGATGGGTGAGGAGTCTGCCCGCAGTGCATGTGGCTGGCCAGGTGGGGGCGCCTCTGAGGATGGTCTGGACAGCTCCTCCTGGCTATCCTCCTCATCCTCATCCTCATCTTCGTCCAGGTCTGAGTCTGAGTCCGAGTCCTCCAGGTCTGAAAACTGATGCTCCTCCACAGCCTCTGAGCCCTCTCGCCCTTCCGAGTCCGGGAACACATCGTCACTGGTTCCTGAGGGCAAACACAGAAGACCCAAGGTCACCATTAAGCCTTGGCCCCACTGGCCCCATGGCTGCTCCTCTCTGAGCCCCAGTTTCCTTGCCTGCCACCTGGGCATGATAGTCATGGCAAGGGCACAAGATTGTTGTGACAACCAAGAATCATAATAGATATGGGAGCACATTGTGAATAACAATAGTGAACAATAATTCCCTTACGCCTAGAATGCAATGATCAGCTCCAAGGGCTTTAGGTATATTTATCCATTTAGACCTCAAAGCATCCTGTGAAGCTGGTACTGTTCTTATCATGTTACAGATGAGGAAACCGAGGTAAGAGAGAGTAAGTAACTTGCCCAAGGAAGACAGTAGTAGGGCTGGGATTGAGTATAACAAAGAAGACGGTCTTCGTTCATTTCTTTGTTTTTTGTTTTTTTCACTAGCATCTCAGTGCTGGCTTCACCACGGGCAAGTTACCCCACTTTGCTGTGTTGGTCTACCCCGTTGTCAAACGAACGCGATGGTCTCACCTCACAGGGTTTTCTAGGAGGAGTAAAATGAAGGCCTTGCACACAGCAAGGGCTTAGAGATAATTACAGCTACCATATTAATACATTAATGATGAAATCTATTATTCCAGGGCAGAGCAGTTACAGTGGCTGGTCCAGCAGCACAGAGCCACCCGTGGTCAGTCTAAACACACATCTGCCATAGTGACCAGGCTCCTGCTGGCTGGTACCATGGCACCTGGCAGGTGGCAGACTCTGACCTCTGTAGGCGGTTTGGCTAAGCTGGCCTCCGGCTGCAGAGCAGGTCCCCATCCCAGTCATACTCTTATCTGAGGAGCCATTGACCTTTTGAAGTCTAGGCTGCTCCCGGCTGCAGGGTTTGGGGCTCTGAAATTCTAGCCTCCTGGTCTGCTTCCTCTAGGATGGCCCAAACCAGTCGGGTCACCTCTAATATGTCAGGGGTCTAATTTGGGCACCTCTGAAATGGCCAGCAATCCAGACACTGGGGAGAGCTTTGCTAACATCTGGCCTGCTTGCTGGCCTATCACTAAACTGTCGGAACCTGTTTCTGGTCTGCAGAGTGAGGCTGCTGACAGGTGGGCTGAGCCGGCCAGCCCCATCACTCACACATGTCAGTACTGTACCCACTGCTGACCAGGAGGGCTGGCACAGAAGCTGACTGAGGCCGGTGGGGCAGCCAGGCTTTGGCTCTCCACCATGCCAAGCTGCCTAGGGGCCAGAAAGCCTGGCACTAGCACTTCCAAGTCACTCAGAATGCAGCAGTCAGATGTCCGAAGTGGACAAAAGTGGGCATTCAGTTGGATGTAGGTCAAAAACTATGGGGCAGAGCTGGGGCTGGCAGGCAGAGGGAGGGCCCCAAGGCTAGAGGCAGGGTGATGAGAGCAGAGGCGGAATGAAGGATTAGAATGAGCCAGGGCTGGGGATGGGGGTGAACTTCGAAGTTATGCCCCAGGCATTAACTTCCCTTGCCTAGGACTTTGGCAGGGGCCTACTTCAGCACCAGGACACCTGGCCCTGCCCCTCATTTACATACAGCAAAATCCAGGCACAGATGACCCAGTGAGAGCTGGTGGCTGAATCAAAACTAAGGTTTACAGCCCTTGCATTATAATGCTGACAGTTTAAAAATGATTTGCGGCACCAAGAAGCAGGGAGTGGTTGGGTTTGAATCCCAGCACGATCACTTCCTTGTTGTGTGATGTTGGATATTTTACTTTCTCTGTGTCTGGTTTCCTCATCTGTAAACTGGGTAGCAATAAAAGCACCCTAAGAAGATGCTGAGAGTACTGCGGGGGCCTGGCACACAGTAAGTACCCATTAAACTTTAGCTCCTCTCATCCCGTGATCCCCTGCCTCCCTGGTGTCAGCAGGCAGGCAGCTGGGGTGGCATTGTCAGCATTTTGCAGATGAAGGTCACGGGTAGTGTTAGAGTGAAGGAGAGTCAGGACCAGCGTCTCCTCATGTCCAGCAGGGAGGGGTCCTCAAGACCCTCCTTACTAACGTGGAAGTTCAGGCTCAGTGGGGGTAGTGGCCTGTCCTGGGCACTCAGTGCATGAATGCTGGAAGCCAAGAGTCCTCTGTTCGGCTCAGAGTTGGCCGGGCCCTCCACATGTGGGTTCCTGCAGGGCTCTGGGGAATGCCCCTGGCTGGGCTGCCCCTTTCCAGGGCCCTTGCTGGCAGGCCCCTTCCCAGGGCCCTTTCTGGAGCGGCCCCGCCTCTGCTGGGATCAAGGCCAAGGTTCCACAAATGAGAAAGCTGAGCGCGCGGCGGGAGCCGCTGGGAGAGGCCACACGGTGGCGCTGGCGCCAAGCCTGGGCAGCGCCGGGGGCGGGGCCGAGGCGCCTCGCCCTTTCCAGGCTGTCCTACCACGCGCCACCTGGCGTCCCACAGACACTAACTCCTCCTGCCGTTCCCCGCCCCACCCACCCCTCCCCGCCCCGGCATCTGCCTTGTCGCGGGAAGTGGCAACTCCATCCTTCAGTCTCTTGGACCGTAAACCTTGGAGACCTCCTTGGCTCCTTTTCGTCCTCACCCCTCCCCTCTGCTCCATATGGGGTCAGCTGAGCCTGTGGGCTCTCCTTCCAGAGCCCACCCAGAATCCCGCTGCTTCTCCACCTCCTGTGCACACCCGGCCTCCCCGCGCCCCCCGGCACAGGCCAGAGGACGCCCTGCTTCCCTCCCCTGCTCCCGGGCACCCCCATGCCCCTCAACCCTCAGGCTCCAGCTCTCACTGAACTGTCTGCCTCCGTGCCCTGCGGGTTCCGGCACGTGGGCCAAGAGCCTGCTGCTCTCTCTGGGGAAGAGCTCCTGCCTCACCCCACGTGGCTCCTGACCCCGGTTCCTCTGGGTGGGTTCTTCGCTCACACCGCTGTCTATCACAGCGGCCCTCCCCACGTGCCCCAGCCCTCACTTGGCTCCTCTGCTTTCTCTTCGGCTTCACAGACAGGGCCCCCGCTCTTCTCCACCTTCGCTCCTTGCCCACCTTTGTTCCTTCCTTGTTTTATTTACTGCGGAATGTCCAGCACCCAGAACAGAGCCCGGCACAGAGACTGTGCCCAGTAATTACTTCTGGAATGAATGCACGGATTTCGTCCTCAAAAACGTGGCTATCAGCATCCTTGATCTCCCCGCTGGGAAAATGAGGCTGGGGCGGGGCAGGGACCTCGAAGGAGGACTCTGGCTTAGGCTCAGGCTCCCCTGGTCCGGCCCACCAGGCAGTGGGGTGGCATGCAGCCAGGGTTTTGTGTGACCTTGGGCTCTTTTTACCTGCTTGAGCTTTACCTTCCCTGACTTAACATGCGTGACACAGTTTCTGCCACCTGTTATGAGGACTCAATGAGACAACATATGTATATGGCCCAATGTATCCTTTACAAGCATAGTGAAGCCACATTCTAGCTGTGGGGGGAACAGCCCCGAGTTCATTGTGTTCTGTTCTATAAGAGTGACTTATTCCACTTAAAGGCAAATGTGACTTAACTCTTTTTTGTAAGACCACAAATACATCCCCAAATCGGAAAAACAAAAATGGAACAAGACACACACGCGTGAACACACACTCCTGTCTGTCACAGTCTAAGTCCTGGGGCTGATTTCAGGGAATCAGTAGGATTCCTGCTTTGCTTGGTGCTGGAGAAATGGCTCCAGCCTCCTCCTACTGGAGGGCCCCGTCCACCACCAAAGCCCCTCTGGCCTCCTGCCTGACTGCTGAGGCCAGGCAGTGCCCAGCCAGACCCACTGCCTTCAACTGCTCTGCCTTGTCTCCTGAGAGACTGACTCTAAGGTGCCTCCTGAGGATTGACCGCCAAGGCTGGGGTGTGTAGGGGATGGGCTAGGAGGGAACAAGTGGCTGAGGTCTGCTGTGGGCTCTCTTGAAACTCTCCTAGCTCCAAAAGGCCCATGTATCAGGTCCATGCCAGAGTGAAGGCAGGAGTGTGGGTGTGGAGCTTTGGAGAATATGTGTCCCATAGTGTCACTGGGAGGGGTTGCTGGGATACTTCGGGGCATACATTTACGACCTGCTTGACACATAGTGGGTACTCAATCAACACTGACTGAGTACTCTCGTGTGCATTTATTCAGTAAACATTCATTGAGCACCCATGGGTGCCAGGTGCTCCACCTGCATGACAGATGGTAATGCATGATAGCTAGAGCTGCACAGCATACCTTATGGCATGTGGGGAGCGGGTTCCATCATTCAGGGAATTTACCCTTTGTATCTGGTAGTTGGGAAAACTGAAGGGGAAGGCATGGGAGGGAGAGAGGGGAGGAGGAGGAATGGGGCAAAGTGGACAGAAAGGAAGCAGGGAAGGCAAGGAAGAAAGGTGGCGGAGGACAGGGAAGGTGGACAAGGGGAAGAGGGATGGAGGAGGTTGGAAATTTTTACCTTCTTCGGCTTCCAGCTCCTCCAGCACCCCTGTCTCTTGGCACTTTTTGCTGTGGGCCTTCGATTTCATGTGCTTAGTCAGATTCCCTGGAAAGAAGCAAGAACAGACTTAGGCTCTGCAGTGGGGCAGGAGGCCAGGGCAGACCTAGGGCTTATGGAGGTAGCACCTGGCTGGCGGGCTGTGGTTTCTCAGACCAGTCAAGGCCCTGGGCAGCAGCTGGGGCATCCCTCTGCCCTGGTGCTCAGGCCAAGAAGTGTAGCCACAGCTGCTGTTCAGGGCAGTGCACAGGAACTAGGTGGGGTGGGCGTGGGGCTGTGAGGAGATGGAGAGTATAATGAGGAAGTGGGATGCTGGTTAAAAAACAAACAAAAAAGAAATTAAAAGATAACTCAAGCGCAACAGGCTTTTCTGGCTTCTGATTTAAATCTGGCCCTAGGAGCTGGTGACACTCATCGGGCGGGACTACTGGCCATCTCAGGTGTAGGATGGCGTGGGAGGATCCCATAGACTGGCATGGCGGGTGAGGACTCAGCATGCCTTTCTGGCTGAGGACACATCTAGGGCAGCCCACAGGGCAGAATTCTAAAGTCTAGTTAGAGAAACCAGGGCAAATTAGTATATTAGGCCTGGGGACAGGACAGAAGATGAGAATAGGGAAGTCTACTGGCCAGGGACTCGGGAGCCACAGGGCTGGGGGCCAAGCTTGGTTTCCATAGAGAAGTCCCCTTTCTGGGCCTCAGTTTCCCCAGGCCAATCTGCAGTGCAGATACAGGACCAGGGTGGTTCAGGGAAGGCGCAGGCAAGGCTTTGTTCTGCTCGATGCCTACAAAGCCCTCAGAGGGGAGGCTGTCTTTGCCCTGGTTATAGGTCCAGCCCACAAGCTGAAGAGCAGAGGCAGCAGCTCTGTGGAATCAGGGAACAGTATCAACAGCTTCAGTTCCCTGACAGGTGCACAGCATTTCACAGGCCACACAGCTCTGTGAACAGGAGTGTTCTAGGAAGGACAGGCAGAGCATCCCAGCCTGCGCCAAAACACAGGCCACATGCCTCAGGATATTCCTTTGGGCCCAGCAGCTACTCCCAAGCTATGATGTGCTCACTGCTGCCCTGGGGATGGCTATATTTCCATATGGTCATAACATTGTAAGTCATAAGTTCCCTGAGTCAGGTGCTCTGTCCCATTAATCTAATTAATTGGTAAGTTTGAATGGGTGGATGGAGGAGAGAAGAATGGAAAGAGGTAAGCCTCCAGGAGTGGGTGAACAGGGCGAGTGATGGATAGATAAAGTGGATAAAGGAAATATAAAGAGAATGAAGAACAGGAAAAGGATAGACAGAGGGATGAAACATGAGACGAGCAGATAAGGAGATGAACAGACAGATGAAGGATGGGTGAGCAGATAAAAATAAATGGAAGGATAGAGGGAGAATGGGTCAGTGAACAGATGGGCTGATGGAGAGCTGGATGAGAGGACAGAGACATGGATGGATGAAGAATGAAGAACAGCCAGTTGGATGGGTGAATGGACACATGCACTTTTACCTGCATGGGAGTACAGACAGGAGGATGCAAGAATGGGAAGTTGGATGGGTGGGAGGACAAATGGGAGAATGGTAGGAACAAATAGGATGAGAAGGTCAATGAACAGGAAAACTATCAGATGAGATGGATGGATGGACGGGTGACCAGGGGGAGGGCCCAGGGGATGAACCAAAGGGTGCTTGTTAACCACTCTGAGAATCAGAAGAAATCTTCAGGGTTTTGCTAAGAGGTTGATGGGAGAATATTAAGCTGGGATTCCCTGAGGTGTTCAAGTCAAGGGCAGCAGGGATGTGAGGGGAGCTCTTTTCTTTCCTCTTTCTTTACCATGGTCCTGGTTTAATTTGGGTTTTTCTTCTACAACCGGAAATAAACCTGCATGTTCTACTCCTGGCCATAGTGGGAGCAAAGCCATAACTTCTAGAGTCATCTTGTAGTCAAAAGGTCCCCAGAGGTCCCTATCCAACCTTGTGGACCTCTGCCCTCATTGTCATGAGCTGGAGTAGGACAGTCAAGCGGTGGGAAAAGGCAGCTGGGGTCTTCCATGGATCAGAGAGACCCACCGTCCTACAGTTCTGGAGCCAGGCCCACCCTCCCTGACTACCCCAGGCCACACAGCACTACGGACACTGCTCATTCAGCTATTAACTCGTTTGTCACACCTGTTCTGCCTGGAAGGTTTAGGTCTCTAATCAACCAAGTTAGATGCTGGGCCCACAATGGGTGTACAATACCCATGTGTGGTTCTCACACAGGATGAAGGCATTGTTAGGAACTTCACAGTCCATGTAATTCAACCCCCACCAGGCTGAGGTTCTCCCTGCTTCTGATCTAACTCTGGGCCCAGGTGCTGAGGACACCATCAGACAAGATCACTGGCTGTTTCAGATGCTGGCAGGGCTGCTTGAACCAACACAGCGAATCAAGTGGCCCACAGCCACAGTGTTGGTTGGTGCCGAGCTTCATCTGGACCCAGGTCTCAAGACTCGGGGGGCCTTTCCCACTCCATGTGGAGGCAGAACGGAACCTGGGTGGAAGCTGACAGCCATGGGTTTGACCGTGGGCTCTGCCGCTTGCTAGCTGTGGGTTCCTGGGCAAGTTTCTTAAGCTTCTGAGCCCTGGTTTCTGCAGCTATGAAGTAATACCTACCTTGTGGGGATGCAGGAGGACTTGATGAGGTGACACATGTAGTGGCAGCAGAGTGTGCTTGCCAGAGAGCAGACCCCGCCCCCATGCCAGTCACTCTATTGAGCAGCTGGGGGCTCTGCCACAACATGCTGGGTGTGGAGGAAGAGATGCTAAGATGATACTTATGGTGAAATGGTTTTACCTCTCTCAGAAGAAGTCACCAGGGAGCCCCCCAAAGGCCTGCCTCTCCTCTGTCCCCACCCTGGGGGGGTACAGGAAGGAGTCAGGGATTGGAGGTGACTCTGTGGGTTCCAGGAGTGGACACTGGATGGGCAGTATCCGGGTCCCTCCGTGATGTCCCCTCTCCAGGCCTGTTTCCTCCTCTGTGAAAGGGGAAGGTGGAGCACATGGCTGTAGGCGCAGCCTGAACGCCACTTTCCTGTTGAGAGCCAGCGCCTCGGCTTGTCAGGCAGAGCTACAGCTTCTCACAGTCATCCCAGCCCCCACCAGAAGCCTTACAGCCCTGGAATGAAGAGTTGAGCCTAGTGAGGGGAAGTGATGGGTGTCGGGAGAAGCGGAACCTCTGATCAAAGGGCTTCCACCAACAACCCTGCCTGCCCCATTCGGCTTTGACCAACTGCCCTGTCCCCGCCCCTGCCGGCCTGGCAGACCTGAGGCCATCTCTGTCCCCTGAGGCGATCAGTGCAAGGGCCTGGACATGGCACAGTCACCCGCCAGCCTCTGGGAACCATCTGAGAAGAGGAAATGGAACCTCCAGCCACCACAGGGCCACCCACAGGCCTCCCCAGCCCCACCTACTGACGCGTTCCTTAGCCAGTTTCAGGAGGCTGAGCTGCTGCCACGACGTCTGACACAAGAGACAAGACACACACGGCAGACAGAGACAGACAGGAAGGCAGGAGGGGCACCCAGGCCCTGGTGCAGCTGGATGGCAGGGCCGGGAGGGCCACTTGGGGCAGGTCTGGAAGTACCCCGATGGGGAGGCACACAGTCCCAGAGAGAAGGGGCCTGTGTTGTCTGAGCTGATGGCTGACGGGGCTCAGCACTTCACGAAGGCACCTGGCCCTGGAAACAGACAGGAGCTCCGGCGTCCTGCTCTCCCTTCACCCCATACTGCAGAGAGAGCTAATGGGGAGCATTCCCTGTTTCCATTGCCACCATCCCACTTGGCCTCCCCTCTGTTAGCCAAAGAGTTTCAGATTCCACCATTTCCCGTCTGCTCCCTGCATTGGTTCTGGAAGGTTCTATTCTTCTAGAAGCCTCTATGAACATTTGAGGAAGAGCTCAGGGTATTCCTTGATCACTGGCCATGTGGACCTGGCCTTCAAGACAGCAGGGGCAACCTTCCCTCGGGGAACACTCTACACCCCTGGAAATGTGGAGGGCTACAGCCCATCTGTTCAGATTATGTGCTCAGGACTCTCCAGCCTTGGCTCTGTGTTGGCTCAGAGAGACCCAGGAAGGGACTGCAGACAGGCTCAGTTCTGCTTCCAATGACGGCATCTTCTAGAAAGTGGGGGCTCCTGCTAGGGACCCAAGGCAAAGGGAATTGAGTGGGATCCCTGTGGGAAACTGCTTGGGCTGGAAACTTTCAGTCTCAAGTGGCAGAGTGATGGCTTCCTGAGGTGATGGGCCACCTGGGCTGCGTGTGGGGCACAGGTGTGCTCTGCATGGGGAGCTCTCAGGGCTCCTCAGGCTGAGGACAGTGTGGTCCCTGGACACAGGCCACCACAAGTGCAGCTTTTTGCCACCTACTCCCGGGAAGGGAGGGAAGTAACTGCTCACAGAAAGGAAGGTGACAGGGTGATTCCTGGAGCGTGGGTCCCATGTTCTAGTTACAGCTCTAGCATTAAGTCATTCTGTTTTCTGGGATCAGTTTCTTCAAGGGGACCTGAACGATAAGTTTTCTGCTTTTAGAGTTGAAGACTGTCAACTGAAGTGTCAACTCAGTGATCACCATCTCGCTCTTCCGTAAAATCTCCACTGGCTGCAGAAGGCCAGAGGAAGTGCGGTTGGAGGGGGCGTGTCAGGGACAGCCCCTGTCCAGGGCAGCGTGTGCTGGGCAGGGATCCAGGGATGAATGACACCTTTGAAGCACCCATGGGGTGGAGTGGGGAGCCCTGGGCCTATCTGCCCTCTCTGGGCACCCTTTGGGACATTGTTTACGAGACACTAAGAGAGAAGAGGATTGGGGAAAGGCAGTGGGAGGGCAGGCACTAAACTAAAGCCTTGGCGGGAAATTGGAGGTCAACTGGCAGATGATGGCGAGGGGACAGAGGAGGGCAGGGGTTCAGTTAATGGGGTCAGGAGACCAGAAATGGGAACACAGTCAGAGAAGAGGCCACTCTGCCAGGGGATGTGATAAACTGGCCCCTGACCTGGTATAGCAAGAATAGAAGGGACCAGGAACAAGAGCATGGAGGAAGTGAAGACAGGCAGGGACCCTGCTGGGCCCCTCCAGAGCACTGCCTAGCCTCGCTCACTAGGAGCAGCTCTGCCAACAGAAGAAAGGTCAATAGGTGGCACAACTTAAAGATGCCCTTGAGTTTCACCCCCTGAGAAACCACGGGGCTCCTGGAGGTCCCCAACCTGCTCAAAGGAGAAGATGGGACCCTTATGTCCAAACCCTGACCCAGAAACCTATAAAGCTTGAGACGCTAAAGACACCAGGAGTGCTGAGAGCCCCGAGTCTCCCACCAAGGCACTTCAGTCTGCAGGGAGCAAGCTTCCAGGGCCTGAGAGCACGATCCAAGAATCTTATGGACTCAGCTCTGTCGTCCACACTAGGGGCGTGGCCTGGGTGGCTGCGGCAGGCCAGGCCAGGCCATGTCCATCGCCCATCGCAGCTCTCTGGGTTTCACGCCTTTCGCAGCAGGTCCCTCCTTTCACAGGTGACTGCCAGAGCCTATCCTGACCCCGATGTAGGGTGTGGCCGGGGCAGGGGTGACAGGGCTGCCAGTCTGGGAGTGGGGAGCCGGCCCTGTGCTGAGAGGTGCGGAGAAGCTGGGTGGATCAGGGAATGGTGGGAGTGGAGTGGTGGGTGGAGGCCAGCGAACGCTGGCTTGAGAAGTGAGCATGCGAGTGTATTAAGCAGCTGGGAGTGGAATGGATTTCCAAATGCAAGAGTGGCAGTGACGAGCATGGATGCTGGAGGGCCTCAGACCAGTGGTTCAGGAGACATGCAGAAGGGGGTGGGGGATGAGAGAAGATGCAAAACCAGGAACTGTGCGCAAGAGTGCCATGCCAGGCTGGGCAGGCCAGGGCCGGGCAGCCACAGGTACAGGGGCTGTGTGCAAGACCCAGGAGGACAGCTGTGGGCAGCCGTGGGGAGCCACGGGCCAGACTGGAGCCAGCTGCTCTGCCACTGGGCACCGAGCTGGGTGCGAATCCAGGAAATGGGGCTGCTCCAGGCCCCCTGCAAAGAGGTCTGGGCGCCTGAACTCTGCACTGGGACTCCCAGAGGGGAGCTCCCTGCAGCGGGCAGGGGCCGTGCCCCAGCTGACTGTCTCTTACCTTTGGTTTTAAAAGCAAAGTGACAGTGCTTGCACACATAGGGCCGGACGTCAGTGTGGGTGCGGATGTGTTTCTTCAGCATGCTGGGCTTCTTGCAGCGAATTCCACACTCCTCACAAACATATTTCCCTCGGCCGCGGCCTCGCACATATACATACTCTTCGTTTGATTTGTACCTATGAGCAACAGGCGTCATAGTAAAGGGAAAAAAAAGGAGAAGAGGCAGGTTCCCACCTCAGAAGACGTACGCGCTTCCTAGCTGCGTTCAGCCCAGTACAGACGCAAGGAGTGGAGGCCATGGAACCAGAGAGGACCACGGGAATGGGAGGAACTGAGTCATGCTGGGGATCCACCACGGACCCCAGCACCCCTGCCCTCAGACAGGTGGGGCTGCACTATTTTCTCCCCAAGAGTTAGCAGACACCCGTGCTTCCCACTGAGGGGATGTGGAGCTGCAGGGTGCCTGACAGCCTCCTGGGCAGAGCCAGCCTGGGCTACAGCTTCCCCCACAAAGAACAGCCACCGTGAGCCACCAGAGTCACAGAGAAGAAATGATAGACAACAGCAGCAGTTCCAGCAGCTGCCATTCACCAAGTGCTCACGCTGCCAGGCACTTTACCCAAATCAAAGCACAACCACCTCACCATGGAGAGCCCGTGAGACCCCAAAACTTAGAGACAGTGAGAGACTCATCCAAGATCCCATAGCCAGAAGGGGCCAGAACCAGGCTGTGGACCTGCCTGCCTCAAAGCCTGTCCAGTCTGCCAGGAAGCCACCCTGACATTCATGAGAGGAGAGGGAACAGGGACCATCATTGCTTCCCTGACTTCAGAGTTTGGAATGAGAAGCCCTGAGATCTCTCCCTCACCTCCACCTCAGCCTGCAAGCTCTGCAGGACCCAGGGTCCCAGCCGCCTGCCACATCGCTTGGGGTTCTAGCTGGACGTGCCACCAGCTTTAAGGAGCGGCCCCTGAAGCACAAATCAGAATGCTCTCATTTCCACTTGGAAACCCACGAGTTCCACAGGTACAAGAGGATCACGATGAAGCCGTCTTGTTGGTCTAATGCTATACACGTGTGAGTCTCAGATGTGGTGGAAAGGGTGGCAGGGGGTGGGCCAGGAGCGGCAGCCCTGGCATACTTCCAGAAGAGCCTTCTGACTCTCGAAGCCTGGGGGGGCCACTGGCATGGCAGGTGGAGGAGGCGTGGCCTCGCAGCCTGTGGAGCGCGCCTACCAATGCCAGCCAGAGCTGCCCAGGCCCACTCACCCCGCACCACCTGCCCCTGCCTGGGGCCAGCACAGAGGGGCAGGAGGTGGCTGAGAGGAGGTGAGCAAGGGACAGCAGGGAGACTCCACCCTGCTCCAATGGGTCTGTCAGCTGATAGCTGAAAGGGTGGCAGAAAAGGGCTGGGAAGAGGGGACTTAAGGGAGGGAGCTTGCCAGCAGCAACAGAACAATCACTGCCACACCCTGCTCTCGCACTCACCCTGACACACTCACATTCACATGCTCACCCTCACACTCATACATGCTCACACCTTCACACACACACATTCACACCCTCACACTCATATATACTCACTTCACACTCACATTCACACACCCTCTCATACATGCTCACACCTTCACTCTCACATTCACATGCTCACCCTCACATACATGCTCACACCCTCACACACACATTCACACCCTCATATACGCTCACACCACACACACATTCACACACCCACACTCATGCTCACAACTTCACACTCACACATTCACACCCTCACATTCATACATGCTCACACCTTCACACACATTCACATGCTCACCCTCACATACATGCTCACACCTTCACACACATTCACACACCCACACCCATACATGCTTACACCTTCACTCACACACACTCACACATGCTCACACCCCCCCACACACTGCACACTCATTCACACATGCTCACTTTTTTCATTTTATATACCTTTATTTCTCAAACTTAAAGCTTTATCAAGCTCACACCCTTACACTCACACATGCTCACACCCCACACATGCTCACACTCACACTCACACATGCTCATGCCCCCACTCAGCCACACTCATATACATGCTCACACCCCCACACTCACCCTCACACCCCCACACCCTCACACATGCTCACACTCCCCTCAGAAACATGCTCACACACACATGCTCACACCCCCTCACACACATCCTCATACACTCACACATGCTCACACCACATACATCCTCACTTTCACTCATATGCTCACACTCACACCCCCACACATGCTCACAACCCCTCACATGCTCACTCACCTCACACACCCACACAGCCTCACACACTCTCATACCCTCACATGCTTACCCTCATTCATACATGCTCACACACCACTCACATACACTGACACACCTTCACATACCCTTACACACATGCTCACACCCTCATACCCACACCCTTACCCTCACACATGCTCACACCCTCTCACACCTTCACTCACACTTCACACCCAGTCGCACACCCTCACACATACAATCTCACCCCCCACACATCCTCACATTCACATGCTAATCCCCACACACTCACCCTCACATACACGGTCGCCCCACCCTCACATGCTCACACCCCACACCCCATCCCGTCTTGCACTCACCCTCACACATGCTCACACCCCACACACCCTCACACATGCTCACACCCACACCCTCCTCACACTCATCTCATACATCCTCATACATGCTCACACCCCACACACCCTCACACCCTGCACTCACCCTCACACATGCTCACACCTCATACACCCTCATGCTCACACACACCTCACACTCATCCCACACACCCTCACACATGCTCACACCTCGTACACCCTCACACATGCTTGCACCCCACACACATCCTCACACATGCTCACACCCACACCCTCACTCATCCCACATGCTCACACCTGCTCACACCCCACTCACCCACACCTGCTTACATCCCACTTACACACCCCACACTCACCCTCACACCCTGCACTCACCCTCACACATGCTCACACCTCATACACTCTCACACATGCTCACACCCACACACCCTCACATCCCACACCCTCACACAGGCTCACACCTCATACACCCTCACACATGCTTGCACCCCACACATCCTCACACATGCTCACACCCACACCCTCATGCTCACACCTGCTCACACACCCACACCTGCTCACATCCCACTTACACACCCCTCACCCTCACATATGCTCACACTCCACACACATCCCCAACCTCACACCCTACACTCTCATACTCCACACCGCATCCTCACACACACTGATCTCTACCCTCACACACCCCGACTCTCCTCTCCACATCCCCTACCCACACACATACACCCCACTCTCACACATGCTCATGTCCCCACCTTCATACACATATACACACTTATATCACCCCACAACCCCATACCCTTACACTCACACCCCTACACACTCCCACAACCACTTGCAACTCCACAATTTTATACCTCATATTCACACATACACCACACTCACACACACACCCAGACTCACATTTTTTACATACCCCCACACTCATCCACACACATAACCCACAATCACACACCCCCACATTCACAGTCACCCTCACAGTCACACATCCTCACACTCCCACTTACACCGATGCATACTCCTGCAATCACACCCACACCACCCACAGGACAATCACACATGGACACGCACCACACACCCCACCCTAACATGCTCATAGTCCCGGCCACATGCTCACACCCATGCACACACACCACACACTTACACTCAGTTGCACAGTCAGACCTCCATGCTCATGCTCACACTCCTGCACACACACCCTCACGTGCACCTCACACATGGACTCCTGTCCTCTAGTACAAGTGGACCCTGTTTTTTTTGGTCACCTCAGATTTGGCCAACTGATGCCATCGAGGAGTATAAAACTGCCCTTTCTCCAGCCAGTTTTGTCTGCATCCCCCCGGGGGACACATTTCTGCAGGATCCAGACACACGCCACCTTGCGCCCGAGAGGAGGAACTGAAGGCCGTGGCGGCAGTGAGCAGAAATGATGCCTTTCTCTTAGGAAGGGCACCCTGTGGCCAAGCACGAGGCATCTGCCTCAAAGTGACAGCAGCTCACCCTCACGCAGCAGATCTCCAGGACCAAAACCAGTTGCCCGCACCTAGATCTTAACTCTCGTGTTCCTCCATGCCCCTGTGACCTGGTGGCTGGGGAAGATGGCTGAGATGGGGCCCCCTTCCCCACCTAGGAGAAGACAAAGTGATGATGGCTTGGGCTCCTCTTTGTGCTGGAGGCCCCGCCACCTCCTGAACACTAGCCTCCACCTGGCCTGTTCGTTGGGTCCATGGCACTTGCTCTCCTCCCGCCACTGCCACAATGGTGTCCTTTAGCCTCAGCCTTCACCCTGCTGATCCCTGCACAGGCCCATAGCCACTCTGTCGTCTACCGTGCCTGTGTGCCAGCCAACCGGAAGCAGGTGCCAGGGTCCATCTGCCCCAGCTGCTCTCAGAGCCCTTCACTTCCTCCTCCACATCAAGCTTAAATGGTACATGGTCTTTCCAAATGGAAGGAAAAAGAGAAAGAGGAAGGGAAGGAGGGAGAGAGAGGACTCCGAGCCTTCAAGGGCGGTGCCTTGACTTGGGGCAGGATATACACAACCATGTACAGCATCTTGTCACATCAGGGAGTGTGCAGCCTGTTGGGGAGCACATCAGGGGAACCAGGGAGGACAGGAGAGATGGAGGCCAGGGAGGTCAGGAGAGATGGAGGGCGAGATGGAGGGCGGGAGAGGTGGAGGATGGAGAGAAGGGAGGACTCAGGCAGGCACCCCTGGAGCAACGGCAGAGTGTTGAGAGCCTGGAGTATTTGGTTCGGGAGAGTAGATAAAGCTGTAGGAAAGTCAGGCTGGATCACCAATGGCCTTGAACACCGTGCTAAGTTTTGGCTTGATCAAAGCCTTAGATCTCTCTAATAGTCTCCAAGAGAGGATATTCCCTAGCCATGGGAAGGGCCTGCAGGAGGAGAGAGTGAATGCAGGCCCAGGCTCGTGTTCTAGGACAGGGATTTAAGAGGCTCTCTGATCACAGGCTCCATAGTTGCCATCTGGATGGCGTGGGGTTAAATGAAGGAGAAACCAAGATCCAAAAATTTCCACTTGGTGCTCA